CTGGCTAATTTTTTGGTTTATTGTAGATATGAGGTCTCGCCAAGATGCCCAGGCGGGTCTCGAACACCTGAACTCAGGCAATCCTGTCACCTCCACCTTCCAAAGTGCTAGGATTACAGGTGTGAGCCATTGGGCTCAGTGTAATTGGCACTTTTTTTTTTCTTTTTGCATTATAGACTCATTCTGTTGCCCAGGCTGGAGTGCAGTGGCATGCTCAAGGCCACCACAACCTCAGCCTGCTGGGTTCAGGCAATCCATCTGCCTCAGCTCTCCAAGTAGCTGGCACTACAGGTGTGTGCCACCACCCCAGCTAATTTTTTTTATTTATTGTAGCGATGAGGTCTCACCATGTTGCCCAGGCTGGTCTCGAATGCCTGAGCTCAAGCAATCTTTTCATCTCGTCCTCCCAAAGTGCTGGGATTACAGGCTTGAGCCATCACGCCCAGTCGAAAATGGCACTTTTAAAGTCATTTTCCTGGATATCATTTAAGATGGGCAATGGCTGGTATAGCCATGTGGCATATATAGCCCTGGGATTCCCCCAGTATCGTCTTTTCCTAATACACACAAAAGCTAACTTGCATTAAGGCTTTGTGCTGGCATAATGGGAAGCATTTTTGTCTCTGTCTTCCTGATTTAGTTTTCACTACTTTTTTTTTTTTTTGAATTGGAGTCTCACTCTGTCGCCCAGACTGGAGTGCAGTGGCCGTTCCTGGCCACCACAGCCTCGACCTGCTGGGCTCTGGCGATCCTTCCGCCTCAGCCTTCCAAGTAGCTGGAACTACAAGCGCGTGCTACCACACCTGGCTAATTTTTTTTTATTTATTGTAGAGATGAGGTCTTGCCAAGTTGCCCAGTCAGGTCTTGAACCCACGGGCTCAGGCATTCCACTCACCTCAGCCTCCCACGGCGTGGGATTATAGGCTGAGCCACCGAGCCCGGTTAGTTCTCACTACTTATAAAGTAGGATGGTAAAGCCAAGGAAACTGAACTGCAGAGAGCTTCAATGTTTTGTCCAGATTTACATGATGATGGAAGAGGTGGAATTTGAACTCAAGTTGCCTGAGTCCAAAACCATGGTCTTTGTACTCTATCCTGTTACCTCATTGTATCATGCTGTTTCTAGATCTTTTGTTCCTCTCTCTCCTTTGTTCCTCTCTCTCCTTTATCCATCCTCTCATAGGGGAAGAGAAGATATTTCCCACACAACTACCAGAAATTTCAGCTGCCAAAGGACTAGCTGCAGGGAGATGGGCAGGCAGCCATAGCTTTCATGGCCAAATGCTTCATAAAACCTAAAGGTGTATATTGAGCGAGGCAATCCCACCAGTATCCCAGCAGTCAGATAACTGCTAGGCCCTGTTATCATCTGCATCATAACTGAGTACAGACCTCTGTCCTTGGCATGGGGTGAGCCACCAGGGAGGGGAGGAGGGAAGAGTAAGTCGACAACCCAAATCTAAGGATATACAAGAATGGAAGGAAAAAACCATGGATATGTAAGCAGTGAAAGTGCAAGCTGGTTGTTGTACAGGTATGATCTGCAAATTATTAATGATTTCTAAGATGTTCTGCATTCATTCATTCACTGTTGAGCACCTACCCACTGCCTGGGTCAGGCTAGATGCTGAGGAGAGAAAACCTACACCCTGCCATCAGGGAGCACACAGTCTAGCAAAAGAAGTAAACCCATTGGAGATTTGGGGAGACTTAAAATACGGATTGCTGACCTGGCATGGTGGCTCACACCTGTATTCCCAGCACCCTGGGAGGCCAAGGCAGGAGGATAGCTTGAGTTCAGGAGTTTGAGACAAGCTTAAGCAACATAGCGAGACCTCATCCCTACAAAATATCTGGGCCTGGTGGCCTACGCCTGTACTCTCAGCTACTCAGGAGAGTGAGGCAGAAAGATCACCTGAGCCCAGGAAGTTGAGGCTATAGTGAGCTGTGATTGTGCCACTGCACTCCAACTTGGGTGACAGAGTGAGACTGCAACTCAAAAATAAAAACTAAAAATACAGATTGCTGGGTTCCACCCCCAGAGGTTTTTATTTAGTAGTTCTGGTGTAAGGCCTAAGAATTTGTATTTCTTTTTTTTTTTTTTTTTTGAGTTGGAGTCTCACTCTGTCGCCCAGACTGG